GGTTTTAGTTTGATACCCGCTGTTAAAAAACTTAATGATAATATTGACATGTTACCATAAGATAATTCTATATCATCATTGGAAAAATATAAAAATATCACTAGCAGTTCTGTTAATTTTTAACAGTGGATACCAAATTAAAGTTTAAACTAAACTTAGGTATGATTATAAAACAAAATAAAATTTAGGTACTAAAACGAAATAAAAATAATAATTTAGGAATTAAACGTTGTATTTTACCTAAAAGAAATTAAAGTTTCAAAACTTGTCGCCAAAGTCTTTTCCATCCACCTCGGTCTATATATATAATATATGACCTTTCTATACTTTATTACTTCTTCTTCCCTTGTTTTCTTTTGCTTTCTTTTCAACCAAACAAATAAGCGTCGCGTGATTTTCCTCGTTATTTCACTTAATAATAGTTAATTATTTCGATTCTCCACAAAGGGAAAAATAACCGATCATCTTTTAGAAAAACAAAACGTAAAGCGTAGAATTTCCTTCGAAGAGAATCGGCCGCGTGAGTTTAATTCATTCTGGAAATTCGGTATTTTAGAAAAATCCCCGAGGAATTTTCTCGGCTGATATTTCTATTGCGATTGGGAGCTCTTCGTTGAGGTAAGAATTTAAAATTTTCATAGGTTTTATCATTCCGTTGCATTAATTTCCTCGAAAGTTTAACCTGAAAATGTTTTTTGAGTCGTTAGAATTAAAGATTTTGTTTTGTTTCATTTTATTTTTTTAAATCTCTCAGTTAATTAACGTTGAATACTTTTTTTATTAAAAAAAATGATGTGAAAAGAAAGAAAACTTGTTAAAATATTTGGATTGCCCATACCAGAAGCAACCCCCCAAAATTAAATTACGTATGTTAAAAATAGTTTAAATCATGGGTTTTGTTGATATTTGTAATTCGCTTATTCTTTTTTCGTGTAATAATACACGATAAAGTTCGTATTAAGGGCGATAATTTCATTGGGAAGATGTCAAAAATGTTTAGCTGGAAGAGTTTCAAGTCCGGTTGGTTTTGGTTAAGATGGCTAAACTTTTTCTTAAACCTGAGCCTCGGTAGCATTCTCTGAATCCAACTAACCGTTAGTTATTCACTGAATAGCAATTAGTTGAATGTTAGATATGTTTGCCATTGCTAATTTAGTGGTGGAAGAAGGTAGTGCTGTTTTAGTGAGTTTGTCTGTGTTCTACGAACGGTCAATGGCCTAGGACAGAAAAAGAGAAAACAAAGGAATCTTAACAGTCTTGCAAATGAAGGTTACCTAGTACTTGTTTTGATATTGGTACTACTATTATTATAATAGTACTATCAAGTATCAACCAAATGATAGCCAATTGTAAAAATTGTGGTTTGCAGTAGTTAAAGATCATGTTCAATTGTAGAGTGTCTGGCATTTGTCCTGCACTGTCAAGAGCTAAACATCAAGAAATAAAAACAACTAATTAAAATAAGCTTTTTTCAATAGCATACATTTAAAATCCTAAAACATTTCAGTTTTCTCGGCAAGCACATTGATTCAAATACCTGTACTGTAAAACACCTACAACAATGTTTAATTTTATGGGTTTCGCATTATCATTAATATTTTGCTTCGATTCCACTGTCTCAGTCTAATTTACAGTTTAAATTCCATATTCTCACAAGAATTTTACTTTACACATCAGAAAAAATTCAACTACTAAGCTATAAAATATCAATTAGAGTTAAACATATTCAAATGTAATAAACAACTAAAAGTTTATTTCTTTCTTTCCAAATGTTTCTACCAAACCAAATAACTAAACGGAGCTAAATCCATTTCGAATCAGAAAACACAATATTACTACAGTTCCACAATCAAGCCTTACTCTTTTCTATTTATTTGATTCACTTAATCAGTAACCAAACATAAAGAAACGAGTGACTGAAAAGAGAGAAAACGGGGAAAAGGACAGAAAACCTTCAAGAGAGCCAACGAGTTTGAGGATGTTTTTGGCGACGGAGATGATTTCAGGGCCGATACCATCGTCGGGAAGGAGAGTGATGTTGTAGCGTTGGGGGGTACGGCGGCGGCGGGGGAGGCACGCCTTATTTTGGTCGGTCTAGGAGACTGTTTGGTAATTGGTTTATGATTAAAAGGAGCAAGGGAGCAGATATTAAGGTGAGAATAAGCATACATTTTAGGACGAGAAATGAAAGTGAAAATAAGGGTAACATTAGGGAAATGCTGACGTTAAAAGTCTTAAAAAAGTAAAGCGATGAAGTTAAAGTAAGGGTAAACTACATAAATGGTCATTAAGGTGCTGAAGTTTTAAAATTAATAAATTAGTCATTAATGTTATCAATTTATAACAAATAAGACATTAACATTTCAATTTATAATAAATCGATCACTCGTCGTTAACAATTTTTAGAAAAAGTTACGAAATACTGACGTGGCATGTTAAACTGATTTGTTTAGCATTGTTTCACCATGTTTAACGAAAAGTGACCTACTTTTTAACTCATTCTTACCTCTTTTATATTTTTTTCTCTCTCTTTCTCCTTCTTTCTCATGTTATTGGAGAAGGAGAAAAGCTTTTATGCAAAGAGAAAAAAATTAAACATTTGATCATTAATTTAAAATTATTGGAGATGGAATGGGAACGAAGGAGAAAGAAGGAGAAAGAGAGAAAAAAACAAATATAAAAGAGATAAGAATTAGTAATAAAGTTGGTCAATTTTCATTCAACATTGTGAAACAGTGGTAAACAAATTAGTTTAACATACCATATCTTCATTCTGTCACCCAGTTTAACATCTATTATTATAAATTGGTAATTTTAATAAACAATTTGTTACTTTCAAAACTTTAGCGAAAAAAATGAAAAACTTACTCAAACTTCAGTTTTCTCGGCCAGCAAATTGATTCAAATACATGTATTGTATAACACCTACAACAATGTTTAATTCCACTGTCTCAGTCCAATTTACAGTTTAAATTCCATATTCTCTCATGAATTTCACTTTACACATCAGAAAAACATTCAACTACTAAGCTAGAAAATATCAATTATAGTTAAACATATTCAAATGTAATAAACAGCTAAAAATTTATTTCTTTCTTTCCAAATGTTGCTACCAAAGCAAATAACTCAGCGGAGATGACTGAAAAGAGAGAAAACGGGTAAAAGGACAGAAAACCTTTGAGAGAGCCAGCGAGTTTGGGGACGTTTTTGGCGACGGAGATGACTTCAGGGCCGATACCATCATCGAGAAGGAGAGTGATGCTGTAGAGTTGGGGGGTATGGCGGAGGAGGGGAGGCGCGCCTGATCTTGGTCGGTTTAGGAGACTGTTTGGCAATTGGTTTAAGATTAAAAGGAGCAAGGGAACAGACATTGAGGTGAGGATAAGCATATATTTTAGGACGAGAAATGAAAGTGAATAAGGGTAACATTAGGGAAATGTTGACGTTAAAAATCTGACAAAAAAGTAGAGTGATGAAGTGAAAATTTTACTAAAGGGAAGGGACTAAAATAAATATTAAACCTTGAATACTAATATAACTCATGTGTCAAATTATAATGAGAAAGGCAAACCTAGGGCACAAACAAGTTGGCGTATTTTAATGGATCATATATTCTTAATTTATTAATTATTCATTAATTAGGAATAAAATTACTATGGATTCCATTCTTTAGATATTTAACCTTTATAATTATTCTTTCATACTTCAGTTATGTCATCGGGTCATTAAACATAAACTCGAACAATTCGACTTGAAAAAATTCGAACAATTCGACTTGAAAGTCATTTAAATTGAAATCAATTAGTATCATAACAATATAAATATTTATAATTAAATTTAAACATAAACTCGAACAATTCGACTTGAAAAAATTCGGAAAAAAATTTAAATTTAAATTATAAAATAAGACTCATCAATTCGATTAACTTAAAAATATTTGACTCGATCGAATACCATCCACAGTGCGCATCATGTTTAATATAATCGTTGACATTGTATTCAAAATTAACAGTCTCCTTTGAAAGAATTATATTTTTTCCCTTGGAAAAGTCATGAGGAGCTTGGAGAAGAAGGAATAGAAATGTCAAAGTTGAAAACTGTATTAGAATTATATTAAACCCTCCTCTGAAATGGTCAGCAAAACACCCATATAAATATGGTGATGCATCTCAATCCAAAGCAGGAATTTCTGGGTTTTACCAGTTACCTCACAACCTATTCATCAACCCAGATTCTGCAAATTTTTCAACAAGATCTTCCAAGAAAAACAAAACCCACCGTCAAAACCAATTTCCCATACATAAGTTCACCAAAAAAAAATGTCGACCCAAAGGAGAACGATGAAAAGTAAGAACCTTCTATCCACACTAGGCTCCATAGCAGCTGCATCAATGGTGATTCGGACCATTGTCAATGATTTCCTTCCTCCACAAGTCATGAACTACTTCTCCTGCAAGTTAGAGAATCTATCTCACCATTTCACTTCTTAGATAACAATTGTGATTGAAGAATTCAGAGGGCTTGCTGTCAACCAAGTGTTTGAAGCTGCTGATATCTACTTGGGAAGCAAAACTGCAGCCCCATCGATCCAGAGAGTTAAGGTGGGAAAATCTGAGAAGGATAACAAGTTGGCTTTATCCATGGATCGAGGTGGGATTTTGGTTGATGTTTACGAGAAAGTGGAGATGAAGTGGCAACTGGTTTGTTCACCAGTTGACTCAGTTCCTTCTCGGAATCAAAACAATGGTGGGGATCTTAATTCATCTCTAAGATAAGAAGTTAGACAATATGAGCTGTATTTTCACAAGAGAAACAAAGATTTAGTGATCGATTCGTACTTGCCTTATGTTTTAGAAAGAGCAAAGTTGATGAGAGAAGAGAATAAGACGATAAATCTTCACACAGTTGTTTATGGAAGATGGGATGTGGAAGAGATCAAACTCAAACACCCAATGACATTCAACACACTGGCTATGGATTCCTAGCTCAAAAGGGCTGTAATGGTGGATCTTCAACACTTTACAAATGGGGAAGAATACTACAAAAGAGTAGGCAAAGCCTGGAAACGTGGATATCTGCTGTACGGTCCTCCAGGGACAGGCAAATCAAGCTTGATAACAGCAATGGCTAATTACTTGAAATATGACATCTATGACTTGGATCTCACCGACGTCCATACTAACTCGGATCTTCGATTTTTGTTGCTCACCATGCCAAGTCGATCCATACTCATCATCGAGGACATTGACTGCTCGATCAAGCTACAAAATCGAGAATCGGAGACAGAGTCCGATGGAAATCAAGGTGACAATCAAGTGACACTGTCTAGACTCTTGAATTGCATTGATGGACTTTGGTCATGCTGCGGCGAAGAACGCATCATAATCTTCACTACGAACCATAAAGAACGGTTAGACCCGGCATTGGTGCGACCGGGTCGGATGGACATGCATATTCACATGTCGTACTGCAATGTTTCCATATTCAAGCAACTTGCCTTCAACTATTTCGGTATCGGCAACGATGGTGTTTTCGAGCAGATTGAGAGGATGTTAGAGGAGGTGAATGTCAGCCCTGCGGAAGTAGCTGGGGAGTTGATGAAGAAGAACTGGAATAGAGAGGCTGCCTTTCAAGGCTTACTCCAATTCCTACGTGAAAAAAGTAATAAGAACAACAGTTAGTTCATTAATCATTATCGCAAATTAATATTTAGAAATTTAAGTTGGCATTCATATTTACCGAAGGATTTACAAGTTTATGAACTACTTTCTAGAATGCTTGCTTGAATGTCATACTGATTATCAAAATTTTGACAGAAGAAAGACATCTAAAATGTGAGGAAGAGATACTCATCGTACCACCATTTGCTGAGTCGCCGCAGTTTCCCTCCAGTCAGTCAAATCGTGGGCGTTGGAGAACGGGGAGAAGAGGACGTGGTCGCCGCCGTGGTTGAAACAATTATCAGTACTCCTAAAAAACGTGACTATTGACGTTTATCGGTTTGTGATCTAGTTATATCTTACGAGTGTGTATCAATGGCCTAGGACAGAAAAAGAGAAAACAAAGGAATCTTAACAGTCTTGCAAATGAAGGTTACCTAGTACTTGTTTTGATATTGGTACTACTATTATTATAATAGTACTATCAAGTATCAACCAAATGATAGCCAATTGTAAAAATTGTGGTTTGCAGTAGTTAAAGATCATGTTCAATTGTAGAGTGTCTGGCATTTGTCCTGCACTGTCAAGAGCTAAAAGTGATGCACAAATGATTTACGTTGTCCAATTTATGTTGCAAGATTACCGGTATTTATGTTCCAATTTATGTTGTTAGGAGATATTAATAACCACGTGTTTTACTCTGAGTTTCTTATCAAGAGATGGAAATGAACATGTGGAAGGGAAGTGTTTATGAAAGAACTTCGTCAGATATTTTGCATACTTGAGGGATTTGTTTCCAAACTTACTAGTTTTATTTTTTCATGTTCCAATTTATGTTGTTAGGAGATATTAATAACCACGTGTTTTACTCTGAGTTTCTTATCAAGAGATGGAAATGAACATGTGGAAGGGAAGTGTTTATGAAAGAACTTCGTCAGATATTTTGCATACTTGAGGGATTTGTTTCCAAACTTACTAGTTTTATTTTTTCATGATCCATAATTTATAACAAAAATTTAATCTGGAAGTTTTGTGACCGTTCTCTTTTGGTGTTGTCAGAATTTGATGGATACCAATAACTGGAGGTCTACTCCTCCCAGTGGAGAGCCCCCCATGGATCTAGGTGATTGGAGAGCCCAGTTGCATCCAGATTCACGACAAAGAATAGTCAACAAGATGTAAGTGAATTTTATGGTATTATTTTTGTCTAAATACTCTTGTATTTAACCTACTGAGATTTTGTGGCTTGTTTCGTAGTCTCTGTTAGTATTGTTATGAACCAAACATTACCATTAAGAACGGTTTATTTCCTTTTCCAAATCCCTTTCTTTGTTTTGTAAAGACATGGCTTGAGAACCAAAGCTTGTTCTTAAGTCTTACCCAGAGCACAATATATGGGCAGCATATCTGGAACCAGATGCAGTTAAGCTATTGTGCCCAACTTTATGTGGCATATTGGGATTCATCATTTAATGAATTTATGTGATTGAATAATAAATATATTTTCTTTTATATCTTTGGTTCCTTGTAAGCTTGGGACCTGTTATCTTATTCATGTGCACTATGAATTGGTGGTTTTATTTTGTTCTTACTGACTGAATTATGACTTTTCATTAAATAACTTGTTTCTGTTAAGTAGCATTGCTTTCTACTTCGTTGTTTGAACAATGAAAATTATGGTTGTTGTTTATTTGAATATAGCTGATGTATGAAGGCCATGACAGTCACTTGTTTATATCGGTTTTTTTTATAAGAATTGAAGGCCTCATTAAAAACCCCTTCTTGATTAATGGAGCTTGTATGGAAGCTCCTTAATCAGCGGAAGGAGGAAAAGAGTGCCTTAGAACTTCATTAAAGAAAATAAGAATTACACCCTATAAAAAGATAAGCTAAATAACCCTTACAAAAAGCAACAACCCCCTTCCGAACAATAACCAAAAAACCAAACGAACAGTGCAAATGACATAAAAATCAGCCTATACCAGCCTTTGCTAAAGCATCAGCATCCATATTAGTTGTCCTTGCAACCCATCTAACAACCCCCCCCCCCAAAAATTCTAAGTTTAACAACTATATCTCTAACAATAGAAGCATACACAACTGGGCATGAATCAACATTGTTAATCCAGTCTACTGCTACCCTACTATCACTCTCAACAATCAGCCGATCATTAACCATCCCTTGGAAAGAGGCCAAGAAAGAAAAACCCCTTTGAATAGCTTTAAGTTCCATCAATGTCAGAGGTCCCGAACCCGCAGACTCCTGAAAAGATCCTAAGATTGCACCTGAATGATCCCTTAAAATACCTCCAAGACCACTTTTCTTCTAATCACTGCTAGTGGCAGCATCCACATTCAATTTTATGAAGCCCATAGGAGGAGGTAACCAAGGGATAATAGAAGACTTCAGGAAATTGTAGGATTAATAAGAATCCCCTATTGAAGGATCAGAAATAAAAGAGTCCTTAGGAATAGAAATATCCTTATGCTTAGCTCCAATGTTGTGGCTTTTTGATATTTAAATGACTGTCCTGAAACGTTATAGAGGAAAACTTTTTGGTGCTTATATAATATCCTGGTTAGTGTTCATTTGATTGTGTTATGTGATGAACCTGATAACTTGGTCCTTAGCATTCATTTATTTAGCATTTGAAGATTCTTACATGTACGTATTTTTGTGTCAATGACTTATGCAATGTCTTGTGTATGTAGAATGGATACATTGAAGAGGCACCTTCCATTTTCTGGTCAAGATGGTTTAAATGAACTCAGGAAAATTGCTGTAAGGTTTGAGGATAAGATTTTTGCAGCTGCAACCAGCCAGGTAATCATAGAAAGTGGCATTCTTTAACATGCTTGGATGCATTGTTGTTTTGGGTGTTCTCTATTTGAATATAAGTTGATTTTAACGTTATTGTCTGTGTTCAGACTGATTATCTAAGGAGAATAACTTTGAAGATGCTTACAATGGAGAACAAGTCTCAGAATGCTATACCCAACACAGGGAATAACAGCAAACCACCTGATCCAGGTAATATCAAGAATCTTCATTTTGCTTTATGTGAGTACAATTCTTTTCATGCACTCATCCTTTCTGTTCTTTTGCTGCTGAGTTGACCACTCTATACACCTCTGCATGTGCTAGGAATAATTTTTTATCTAGTTCTAAATGTTTTTCGATTCAGTTATTGTGGGTTATTCTCCAACTTCTCCTTCTGAATATAAATATCTTGGATAGGTTCTCAAGGCATGCAGAACCAAGTTCACAATCAGGGGCAATCAGTTCCTATCTCATTACAAAGTAATCAATCTCAAGCACAACTGTTATCCCAGAGTGTTCCAAATAACATGGCATCTGCTGGAGTTCAAAGTTCTGCTGGTTTACAATCTGGAATGCCTACTGTATCTGGTCTAACCCAAAATCTTGTACCTAATGTTGTTGGCCAGAATTCGAACATGCAGAACATGTCTGGAATTTCACAGAACTCAGTGGGGCAAGGGATGTCTTCCAATATTTTTTCTAATCAGCAGCGACAAATGCAAGGAAGGCAACAGGTGCTTCCGCAACAGCAACAACAGCAGCAGCATCTATACCATCAGCAGTTACAAAACCAACTTACGAAACAACAGATTCAACAGGGAAATCTCCAGCCCTCACTTATGCAGTCTCACATGCAGCAACAGCAGACCCTATTACCACCTACTCAGTTGCAATCTTCCCAGCAATCTGGTATACAAACATCATCCATTATACAGCAGTCTTCCATGCAAGCAACTCCTGTTCCTGGTCTTCAACACAACCAGCAATCTTCTCTACAACAGTCAACTCAGTCTATGCTTCAGCAACATCAACAGTTTAGACAGCAGCAACAGGCTGCCAGTTCTGGTATTCATCAACAAACACCAGTGGCTCAGCAATCAATGATGCCTCAGCAGCAGCAGCAGCAGCCTCCACAGCCACAACACCAGCGGCCACACATGATGGGACACCAGACAAATGCTGCAAATACACAGCAAAATCAGTTAATTGGACAACAAAACAGCATTGCGGAAATGCAGCAGCCGAGGTTGCTAGGCCAGGCTAATAATCTTCCAAACCTACAGCAACAGCATCGGCAGCAGTTAATGGCTCAAAAAAATAACCTGTCAAATATCCATCAGCAACAGTTGGGTCCTCGGAGTAATAGTTCTGGATTACAGCAACAGCAACCACAATTAATTGGAAACCAGTCGGGTAACTCAAGCATGCAAACTAACCAGCAATCTTTACACATGCTATCCCACCCTAAAGTTCCACTCCAACAAACGCAGCAGAGTGCATCTAATTTGTTACCAACTCAAGGGCAGGCATCCCAGCAGTCACAGCAGCAACAACAACTGATGTCGCAGATGCAATCACAGTCTAATTTGCAGCAACAATTGGGTTTGCAACAGCAACCGAATCAGTTACAACCAAATATGCAGCAAAGGCTTCAAACATCAGGTCAAGTATCAAGCTCCTTGCTTCAATCACAAAATTTGACAGACCCGCAAAAGCAGTTGTATCAATCACAAAGAGCTGTTCAGGAGACATAATCAAGTATGTTTTTAATCTATGCCATTACCTGCCCTTGTTCTTTTCTTGGATGCTTTCAGATCTTGTGTTATTTAACTGATCTGTGCAACTTTTCCTGTGATGGTATTGTTTTGCATTGCATTTTTACCCAGAAAGTAATTCCATTCCAACTTAGGAGATTAAGAGAAACTCCTTATGAACTTGTGATATGTTATCTCATCAAAGAACTTTTTATTTAGATGATTAGCCCTAGGATCAAATACTTTATATAAAAAATTAGTGGCAGCCTTTCATTCAGCTGATGATTGGCATTGCATGGCTTTGTACGACACAAGAAACATTTGTTTGTCATCCATGTTACTCTTAAGGTTTTGAATGTTGTGATTGTGCTATTATATTACTCTTGATGCGTTCCTGCAGCTATTCTGCTATGGTTTTGTCAGCCCACAGGCAGCTTCTGGATTTTAATCTCTTCACCTGTTCAACAAATAATTGGTCCTCTCTTTTTTATTTATTGACGATAATTGGTTTCTTTTGTTCAATGAGTTTTTGCATCAAACTAGAGGGTCTACAAACTTGCCAATGTCAGTTTTTTTGGAAGGATACACAATATAAAATCAAGTTGGTTCATCCATGCATTAGATGGTCAAAAGAGTGTCAAGGCCTCAAAATTGTGTGGCCCTTGGGTTGAGTCTCACGGCTTTTGTTGAGACATGAGATTCTGTTGTAGATTTGATT